TCTTACGCGTTTGGATCTCAAGTTTACTATTCCTCCTCTTGCGTGCGAGGCATTTAAATCTCAAGTTCACTATTTCTCCTCTCGCATGCGACGTGTTTGGATCTCAAGTTCACTATTCCTCCTCTCACATGAGGCGCCTTTGGATCTCAAGTTCACTATTCCTCCTCTCGCGTGAGACGCATTTGGATCTCAAGTTCACTTTCCTCCTCTCACGTGAGACGCATTTGGATCTCAAGTTCACTTTCCTCCTTTCGTGTGAGACGTGTTTGGATCTCAAGTTCACTATTCCTTCTTTGGATCTCGAGTTCGGCTTTCCTCCTTTCGTGTGAGACACGTTAGGATTGTTCCCTCGGTTAAAAACATCAGGCGCACCTGGTGTTCACATCACTCATTTTTCACCCTTCCTATGTGAGACGCAGATAGGCCTACATTTTCTTACATCCGACGTAGCTTGGTTCATACTTTCTTGGTCCTTTTCACATGAGACATGTTTAGCTACTCACTTCTTTCCGTGTGAAACACGGTTGGATTTATTTTGCTCTGATTTATGCTTTCGTTCCATATCGCATTGTTGTTTTGATTGTATTATTTCATTGCATGATCATAAGTTATGTTTTGCATATCATTTTGTATTTTTTCCCCTGAACTACGCAGGTTTGATTCCTTGCAAAGGGATACGTAGGAAACCCTTAGGTTCAACCAATTGTTCGCACATTTGTTTGTTTTCCCAAGTCTTACGATCTTGTCAAAAGGGTTGTCTTTGGGCTTTGACATTCACTCACATCATGAAATGACTTCAAGCTCTGTCAAAGAGGGGACAACTGTAGACACCCCAGTTTTGACCACTCATAAGACTTAGGTGCTTTATTCTGAGCATTTGATGATGAAGATTACATTTTGTAAGTGGTTTAAATTCTCAATAGAGAATCCGAGTTCGAACTCTAAACAATTCCAACTTGCCATGCCCATTGTATTTCTGCCTTTGAAACACAGTTTTCAACATTGTGCCAACCTGTATTGAACCTAAAAGTGAGAAACAGTGGAACTACACTGAGGCCTGGCTGTGCCTCAGTGAAGCCCGGCCGTGGATATCAATGCCCGGCCGGGCCTCTTGACTATTCAAAGAAGATTGAGCAGCAATTTGCCAGCTGTCTAATTCTGCAGATATTTTGTTCTGCAGCTCAAACTCTATAAATACGAAGCTCAGACCTGTATTTTAAGGGTTAGAAAATATCAAGTGTTAGAAAATATCAAAGGGTTAGGAAATATCAAAGTGTTAAAAGAATATCAAGGTGTTAGAAAATATAAAAGAGTTGATATTCTTCTTTTGTAAGTCATCTTCATACTCTCATAACCTTTGAGCTCTCATATCATCCATACATACCATATCAAGAGCTTGGACTTGGAACTTTGATTGAGACTTGAAAACCGTAACTCAAACTTGAGAGTGCTTTGGAATCAAGTTTGGTTTACAACAAGAACACCTTCTCTACAAGTTGATTTAAGAGCTACCAAAGGTGGAGGGGTTAACCACTCTTTCTTGAACCTTACTTCGAACTTATATCCTTGTGTTTCCCACTTATTTCTTTTATTTTAGCCACTATTTTGGGGCTGTTTTTGGAGTATTTTTAGAGGCTAAAATATGGTTTAGGAGTCCCAAAAAGTGGAGGGGTTAGCCACCCCTCCTTAGCTTTGCTTACTAGCTTTGTATCTCTTTGTTTTTGCCTACCTTTTGGGCTCTTGTAACATGGTTTTAGCTACTGTTTTGTTACACTTTAGTGGTTGTTTTAGGACTGTCCTAGTTTGTTAAATTAGCTTATGCTTTGATTATTTTGCTTGTTGTATCATAAGTTCTCATATATAGCTTGTTGTATGTTGTTCTTGGCCTTTCTTCGTTTAATTTCCATGTTTAAGATGCTTCATTTTAACAAGCAACCTATCATCCATTTCCTTAATTTGAGAGTGATTTCAATTGGTTGATGGTTATTCAAAATATGAGTTAGAGATCTATGCTTAATGGCTTAATCTCTACGGAGGTTCATTGCCAACCGTATAATCTCTCTTTCATGTTGAGAATTACTTCATGTTTGGCACGCTTCTCATTTAGTGGACATAATCATCACCTTGGACTTAATGGATTAAATCTTGGAAAGGACTAAGAAAAATTGCTACAATGAACCAACCCACATAAAGAAAATAAATTATATTGCTTGGATTCAACCGGACGTTATACTGAGTCTATTGTGTCAAGGCTTATCTTACATCAATTCATGATGTTTAGATGAACCTTGAAGCGTCTCTACCTCCCTCTTTGAGTTCATTTCATGATAGGAGGGACGGGTGATTGTTATTCATTGCATTTATTAATCTTTTGTCCTATCGTGTCCAAAAATCATCATGCAAATCAACTTGCAACCATTGATGGTTTGGGAACCAAATTCGCTCCTCTCTTGAGTATCTCTATGATAGGAAAGGACAGAAGGGGCAAACATGGCTTAGCAATGCCCTGTCTGCACTGTTTCACCTCAGGCACAAAAAACATATTTCTACAAGGAAACAAAGCATGATTGGATTTATTTGGGCTTGATTAGGTCTCATTGTGGGTCGACCAAGCTCCAATGGCAAATAGTACACTTTTGGTTGGAAGCAGTGACTAGGGGTGAAATATAACAGTTCTCATCAAGGCAGACAGAGTAATTTCTTAGGAACATCGCGTAATCATTGCATATTATTGTTGTAATAAATTAGACATCCCTTCAGTTATTATTTATTCCGATTTGTAATAAGTTGTTAATTCGGACATTCGAATCCTCCTGTGCGAGGACAAATATGTAACAATTTGTGTATGTCTTCCAACCCCCATTCTTTCTCCCTTTTATTTCTCTGCTTATGATGGATTGTATATAGCATCATATTTTCCTTAGCATTTTTCATGAATTGCATCCATTCATTTTGCGTGCATAAAAGTTCGACTCATCATATTATTTGAATGACAATTTCACACTCCTTACTTGAATACATGCACTATCACATGCCTTGGATTGACTCGCATGCCATGCTAGTAGCCGAGCCTATTAATTGCACGTTGCATGTGTTGCATTAGTCATATTACATTAGTTAGGATCATACATTTCTTCTAACTATTTTCTTTCTTGTGACTTGCCTTCGGACATTAAGGCAAGCATTTTTTGCTTTAGCATATTGCATAAGTGTAATTGCTATCATATCGAACATATTACCATGAGGCTAAATGCTTAATTGATATACATGTTTGAATGCTTGTGGATGAAAGGTATTTACTGAAATTGGGATACTTTAAATCATGTATATATATGAGATCACTTTTTCAAATGGTACATATTCAAAACACTTTTTCAAAACAAACATGATCTCAAAACGTTCCAACTTTTCGTGAAACTAGTCTATACTTGTACGAATCACATAGTAAAGATAGCATAAATAATCGGAATAAGAGTATATAATGTACATAAAAATCACATCATGATTAGTAGAAGCCGATCTTTGATCGGGTGAGTGGGGTGCTCAATTAATGACCTTCCCCTCTCATACCTAAGTTCCCAAACCAAGACACTTTGATGACGACGAACTAATGGCCTTTGGCACGAGTCACGGGTTTCCTAATTTTTCCAAAATAAATATTAGGTGGCGACTCTGATATCTGGCAAAGCAGTCCATTTAATACATTTGATTCAAAACATCGATTTTCCAAAAGAAATTGCCGGATTTGGACTCTTTTGTATTTTCACTGTTTCACTTTGCACTTGTGAAATCAGATTTAGAACTACGAGAAGTCCAAACTGTAGGGCTAGCCATCTTCCAAAAGGAGCACAAAAAGCCAAACTACACAGCACAACCCAAGCTTGTTTGTAAGTTTCACAAAGCTCTTTATGGCCCCAAGCAAGCTCCATGGGCTTGGTTTTCTACCTTTTCTATTTTCCTTCTCTCTCATGGATTTGTCTCTAGTCATTGTAACTCTTCTTTGTTTGTTAAGAAGACAGATTCAACACTCGCCATTCTCATCATCTCTGTAGATGATATCTTGCTAACAAGGTCTGGTTCTACCTATATTGCCACTGCCATTCAACAAATGCATGGGTCTTTTGTTATGAAAGAACTTGGACTTCTCAATTATTTTCTTGAGATTTCTGTTACCACTACTTTAGGTTATTTTCTATGTCAACATACAACAAAACTCACTTTTAATGACATAAAATGCAAGCCGTGGATATGATTCTACAACACGCAATGTAAAGCCGTGTTATGACATGTCATGGAACGTCACTCACTATGCACGCCATAGTACACCGTTAAAAACCTTTTAACAACAAATCTTGTATGTCGTATTTAATTTTTCTAAAACTACTTTTGCACGTCGTTAATTCAAGGGACAAACCACGACGTTCATTACTAGTCGTTGAATATTTAATACAATGGATTATTTTGCCTGCCGTAGATAGCCCAAGTTCCACAACATTTTTTGCATGTCGTAGACTACGTATATTTGTTTTAAAAAAAATTCAATAGGTTTTATTTCATCTGTTCTGTACAATCTAAGAAAACATTACAAACAAGCTTCACACACACACACACACACACACACGCACACACACAAAACATATATATATATATATATATATATAAGTATCAATCAACCACTAAAATATTGTTTCCAAACATTAAATAAAAGTAAAAAAAATAAAAAAAACTATCCATAAGTTCTGAATATCCAAAAAATTGTCTATACATTCCAAACCATCCAAAAACTGATTTGTGTTTGTAGAATAGTTTTTTAGATAAAAAGTACGAAAACTTGTTTGGTTTACCTTTTTTCAAAAATGATTTTGGAAAATTATTTTAGGGAGAGAGTTTTAAAAAAAGTGATTGATTTGACGTGCATAAGAGAGAGAGTGATTTTGGAAAGTAAGTAACCAAACAAAATTTTGAGATTTTTTTTGAAAAAATTTGTTTGGTTTGATTACTCTTGAAAATTTGTTTGTCGAGAATTTTTCCCAAAATTTTTTCTGAAAAACAAACCAAACAAAGCCTATGTTTCTAGACATTAAAAACTACCTTCAAGTTCAAAACCATCCAAACAATTCTAAATCATCCAAAACAAAATATCCTTAAGTTCTAAAAACTGTCCAAAACTTTCTAAACAATCTTTAATATGAGTGTAAATTATAATGGAATATATACATAATGGAGCTAATAGTACTATACCACTACTGCCTCAAGTACTTCGTTCACAGATTTTCCTTTCTTCCTTGTATGTCTCCTTTAATCCAAACATTAACTCTAGATCTGGGTTTGGGCTCTGAGTTTTCTGCAGAAAAATAAAACTTAGTACAAAATAAAAAACAACAAAATTGGAATGCTTTTGAAATAGCTAGAATTTATAAAAGGTAACTGTGACCCAGTTTCAAATGAAAAACTGAATCATTTATATCTGAATGCTCTATGCATCTAGTTTCCAAACAAAAAAAGTTTCAAGTCTTTTAGAGGAAAATATGGATTATGATATCGGTGCCAAAAATTCCCTATTTCTCAAATTTGAACACTTTCAAACTAGAAGGCATAGATAGCTTTGTATTGTTCTCCATGTAACCAATGGCAACTTCTCGTTGCAAATATGCCCTTTTAGAAAACTCAGCAAAAGAGGGATTCTCATCCTTCTGCATGTAGAAGTTGATATCCTATAATAATAATAATAATAATAAACACAAGCAAATCAACAAATTAGCAACAATGGATAGATGGTTCGGTCATAAATTGGAGGATTTTATGTTGATAATCCATTACCCACTTGGTAACTAAAAAGAAATTACTTTAGCAATAGAAAACATGTCTTCGTTCACACGCTAAAGAATTTAAATGATAAATGAGAAATTTTATAAACATAAACATTAATTTATAGGGGGTGTTTGGCAAGGGTTTTTTTTTTTTTTTTTTTGACTTTGTGAAATTTTCTTCAATTTTTTGTCAGTTGTTTTTACTTTTCAGGTACTCTTAGTCTGGTAACCTTGAAAAAAAGTTAAAAATAAAAATAATGACCAACAAAACAAGAAAATATTATGTGTGAATTTTGATGTGACCAACAGAACAAGAAGAACCACATTTGGTTTATGCTGATTCTATTCTCTAACCTCTGAACGGCACTCATACTAAACTTTACGTGTTAACGTAAGTATTTAAGAATCAAAAAAATTGCAATTTACACTACAAAAGGAAATTTACCTTCACATATATTTCATCACCCTCTGCATTCAGAATGTCTTTCCACTATGCTTCGCCACTGTCATGAACAAATAGAGATTTACCTCAAAAAATAAATAAGTAAAAAAAAAAAATTTGCCTCATGCAATGAAACGTCTAATGGTAACACATGCTAGAAAGAAGAGTAGAATAATTTAAGACCATGAGCAGTCACAAGGCTCATCACTTCCTCTGCGGGAATGAAAGTGAGGGACGGCTTGATTCTTGTAATCTGTAGGGATTTGCAGGATTGTGGCAAAAGAAAATTTAACTTGTGTGAGCACTATACCAAGCCATGAATTTTACATAGAAAATTAATTACAAGAATAAGGAAGAATTACTTGTTTGCCCATCTTGGAATCAACAATTTCTGCAACTAGATTTTGCACCTGCAATCCATTCATCGTTATATTTTCCGTCGGATAGTAAATTTAAACATTAATTAAAACAGTACGCCCAATTTAGTGCCCATTGGGACCTAACCTTCGACATAATTTGTACAAAGTAACTTCCCTCAGAGAAATTTTAAAGCAATAGGGAATTTTTAAAACATAATAATAGAATTCTAATAAAATTAAGTAGAAGGAATATCAATAGTTAATAGCATCATATACCCATCTTGAAACCATTCAAAGCAGATGATCTATTTTCCTCTGTTGACAAATTATATAAATGATAAAATCCCAAAACAAAATCTTGCTATAGCACTACATGCTATTCATGACCTTTTTTGAGCTTAGAAGCAAGCATAAGCAAGGTATTCCTCCAAGATGAAAATAATAGATCCGGAGGCAATATCATGAAAGATCAGTAGAAAACCCTGTCGTGGCAGCTACTTGATGGATATTTGGCTCTAATAGATTACTTCAACATACCTTTAACATCAGGAATTGAGTGTATTCAAGACAAATAAAGTGCTGGTACAAGACATAACTACATTAGGTAATTAAGTTCTGTAACTAACTTGGTAAGTCTGAGAGTAACTTAGAGATAACAAAGATACTTCTTTCTGGTGAATAGAGCATTTCAACCTGGATAGGGTTTGATTGCTTTATGCTGTGTTTGGTTGGGGGATTTGGGAAGGGATTTGGAAAGAGAAAGGGAAAAGGTGTGTGAAACTATGTGAAATATAGGCATAATTTATTCACATTTCACCTACCTTTTCCATTTCCCTTTCCAAATCCCCCAACCAAACACAACATTAGTGAAGGGGGTGTTTGGAAAGACAAATTTGATCCCTGGATCACAGTGCCTAAATTCTCCATGTCAAATACTGGAAACAAGTTCACAGCTGTTGACTCTGACATGTATGTTGTTATCTAAGGTTCCTAGAGAAAAAAGGTGTACCACGGGTTACTTGTCACTGTGTGACAGCGTCAACAATGTGATGAACGGCTCTTGCTCTGGCATTGGCTGCTGCCAGACAAGTATCCCCATGGGAGCGACGAATTTCCAAATCACTCTCAGTAGCTACAGCAACCATAGTAATGCGTTGGGCTTCAATCCATGCAGTTATGCTTCTGTAGCCAAGGAAACTGCTTACAACTTCTTTTCTTTGGATCTAAAGGACTTTCAAGAAAGAGAAAAGCTTCCCGTGGTGTTTGATTGGGAAGTAGGTTACTAAACATGTGATAAAGCCAAAAGAATCCAACAACTTGTGCTTGCAAGGATAACAACAGCGATTGTGAGGACCAACAATAGTCCCAGCTATCGTTGCAATTGCTCCAAGGGATAAAAAGGAACCCTTATATTCCTCATCTTTGTCGAGGTAACTAACCACAACTACGTAATATATGTTCCAAAGTTTTCAATTTCTTCCTAACAGTAATGCTATGATCTGTATATTCAATGCAATTATGAAATGAATTATGTTAAATAACAGTCGAAGTAGTGTTCTGGTAAGTTGGTGGGAATGAAAATCAGATTTATATTGCCTAGTTTTCGCCACATATCAATTTACATCGATACAAAAGTTAATTCATACCCAATATAGCTAATATAGGGGTTGGCCTAGTGGGTACATCTTGGGGCTTGGGAGTGTGCGCCCACCAGGTCACAATTTCAACTCTCACTAGGTTCATTCAACTCCTTGAGGCCACGCCCACAGGCTCTGTCCGAAATTTGCCTGATCCACGTGGAGGGGGTACTTTGTATGGGTCCAGGATTAGTCGAGGTCTAAGAAGCACAACACTTCTAAGAATGTGACATATCCGTGTTGTGTCCGTGTCGGACACAGACACTCTTTGGACACTTCCCTGACATGTGTCCAATTTTTTTTTTTTTATTTTTAAAGACTCGGACACTCTTTGGACACTTGAGGACAGTGTCTATCGATTAGACACAGGTGAAATTAATTATAAGTTCGAATAAAATAATTTAAAATATAATAATAAAACAAAAGCCATATAAATTTATAAGAATAGTGTCATATTTGTATTTTTTATTATCTTTGAATGATATATTCATATATATAACATAAAACAAATATATAAAGTTATATATTTCATGCGTGTCCCCCACGTATCGTGTTTTGCATTTTTTGAAAATTGGTGTATCGGCATGTACGTGTTGTGTTGCGTGTCTGTGTCGATACTTCTTAGGTCGAGGTGTGCATAAGTTGGCCAGGATATCAGGTCATCAAAAAAAAAAAAAAAACAAACAAACAAACAAACAAACAAAAACAAGCATGTGTGAATTCAATTCATAGCCGATACAAACAGTTCACAATTGATGTTAGTAGTTGATAATTTTAAAAAAGTTATAATTGCATCACTCGGTATTCTCAATATTTCTATATTGTGATCAATAACAATTCATATACGGATACCACTATTTAAGACTTTGAATCCAATTAATTGATTTGTAGTGACTATTAAATATGAAATTAAAAATCTAACTTGCTTGTTCTATGTTTCAGATATTGATGAGTGCAATATTTTAAGTCCCTGCAACATGACATGCATCAATTTACTGGGAAAATACAATTGTTCTTGTCCAGACAGCTATGAAGGTGACGGCATGAAAAATGGAACAGGTTGCAATCCAATTCCTGTTCCTGACCACAGGCTTCCATTGATTAACATTTCACTAGGTAGGTACACCGTACACCCCCTACACATGCTATTAACCATAAAATTGTCAACTTCTTAAATTTTCATTGGTATTCAACTGATCAATGCTTGTGATTTTGATTCTATCTCTAGTTTAGAGTATATAGTCTGCCACTTATTGATGCACAGATTAGAAACAATTTGAACATGATATATCTCGACTTTCCGCGTATTCTTTCTTGATTACACTTTACCCCCCTCAATTTAAATTTATCCTAATACGCTTTATTTTCCGAGTTTGTTACTTTTACTTTGAAACTTGAATTTTGGATATTGACATTTTCTTTTCCATGTGAATCCTTGCAGGCATAAGAATAAGCATATCAATGCTACTTCTCTGTTGCTCATGGCTATATTTGGTATTTAGGCAAAGGAAGATCATCAATCTTAGAGAGAAATTTTTTGAACAAAATGATGGCATCATGTTGCAACAACAACTTTCCAAATGTGAAGGATCAGTTCTGTCGGCTAAAATCGTTACTGCAGAGGACCTCAGGAAGGCAACAAACAACTACCACGAAAGTAGAGTCTTAGGCCAAGGAGGCCAAGGAACAGTATACAAAGGCAGATTATCAGATAACACTATAGTTGCCATTAAGAAGTCCAAAGTAGCTGATCAGAGCCAGACCCGAATTGAGCAATTCATCAATGAAGTCATAAGTCCCTCTCAAGTCAACTTTACGAATGTTGTGAAGCTTCTAGGGTGTTGTTTAGAGACACAAGTTCCTTTACTCGTCTACGAATTTATTACTAATGGAACTCTTTATCACCACATACACGTTGTAGGCAACAAGTCCTCAATAACATGGGAGAATCGTCCAAGGACAGCAACAGAAACTGCAATACCCTTTCATATTTGCACTCTGCCGCTAGTACTCCTATCATTGATGGAGATGTTAAGTCCACTAACATACTCTTAAATGCAATTACATCGCTAAAGTATCTGATTTTGGAGCTTCAGTTAACCACATTGGTTCAAGGGACGCTTGGTTACTTGGATCCAGAGTACTTCCACACAAGCCAATTGACTGAAAAGAGTAGCTTTGGGGTTGTCCTTGTGGAGCTACTAACCGGCAAGAAGGCACTTTCCTTCAACAGGCCTGAAGTAGAAAGAAATTTAACCAAGTATTTTGTTTTCTTAATGAAATAAGATCACTTGTTTGAAATTGTTGATGAACAGGTAATGAATGAAGCGAAGGCTGACCAGCTAAAGAAAGTTTCTATTTTAGCAAAGAGATGCTTAAATGTGAAAGGCAATGAATGGCCAACTATGAAGGAAGTGGCAATGGAGCTGGAGGGATTAAGAATGATGGAGAAACATCCATGGGTTGATGATAACAAAAACTTAGAAGTGATGGAATAAAGAGTAACCACACCATAAATTGGTGTGACTCACTTCACTGAATCTTCTCTCTCTTGCAGTGTTATAAACCTTCCCGCAAGAATATTAAACTATCCGTTAGTTGGTTAATAATTTGAATTCAAACCTTAACAGACACAACTCTGTGAAACATGGCAACTGTTATTAGATTATACCTATTGCCAAGAGTCTTCTATTGATATATAAATAGTGACAACAGGTTTTGAACAAGATATAGAAAAGAACTACAAAGTTAACTATTTTTCTATCTTTCGGATAAATATTATCACACTCAATCAAATTAAGTGTGATTAAAATATCAATCTAATTTTTTTTATCACACTTCCAATAAAAGTGAGATCTTTTTTTTTTATCAAAGTGTGATCTTTAACTATTTTTGTAGTAGTGTAAACACCCTCACGGGTATTCCGATCGATTGCCATTGATAGATCATCTTTCAAGAAGAGACTCAATACTTGCTTGGAGACCAACTTTCAGATACTTACGGTAGTGGCACTCGTGTGAGCAATTCAAGAACTTGACAGTATGACAAACCACGCCATTTCACCATTTGATGATGGACTAGTTAGGCTGGTCTACATTAGATGTTCTGTCGTAATGTTTTCATTTTAGCTTTGTTAAATAATTATTGTTAACCTTTTTGAATCCTCTGATTATATATATTGAGGCTTAAATAATAATTCATCCCAAATACATACATGTAGTCTCTTGTTCTATGTAATCATCAGTCATTCCTCTGCATATGAATGATTTTTATTATGTCAAAATTTCTTTAGAGGGTGTACAATATGTGGTAAACTTGGTAATTCAGGGAAATAACTATCCTCGAAAGGTGGGAGAGAACTAATAATAAAACATCATGGAACTAATAAAATTTGAGACATTGACATGAGAAATTCAGAGACAATTCATGTTGTCATTAGAATTGCTCTCAAGACTCGTTTAATTTGGTCTAGACAAGACAGACACACATATCCATCCAAACCAAACCCAACTGGATTCCAAACTCAAGACTTTGACTCTACATATTCCATCAAATGAAACAGTCAAGCTATTGTAGCTGCAATGAAAGGACCAATCCTAATTGTAGTTTAATTTTGTTTCATTTTCATAAAAAAATAAGAGGGTAAATCACACTATTCATCTTTATAATTTTTGTAAAATTTCACTTTAGTTTTCGTAATTTCAATTTTAACAATTTAAATATCATATTTTTCATTTTTGTTACAATATAATCCTGCCATCATTTGTTGTTGCTATTTTTAATAGAAAAAACCAATATGTGCAACCCACATATGCATTTTAGCAAATTCCTACTCACAAATTAAGGAAGTTCAAGGTGAACGTCACGCATCAGAAGGAAAATATTGTGAAGCTCAAAGAAAAGTGGCTATCTTGTGAAGGACCTAGGAAGTAACTTGTGAAAATTAGTTGACGCCTTAATTTTTGTGGTGAGAGCAACCCTAGTTCTTGAAATGGGAAGACGTGAGTAGTACTCTGACAAGACTGTAGTCACAAGATAGCCGGGGACAGAACCAAAAATTATGTCTAGGGGGTCAAGATGTATGCATAAAAAAAATGAGTTAGTTTTGATACATTACTAACAAAAGATATTTCTTACACATGGGTTGCAAAAACATTTAACAAATCATTATTTTTTCTTCCTTTTTTAAAGTTTTGAACTATTAATTAGATCTATTTTGTTAGTTGACATAATTTAATAAATAAAAAGTATACATATATCTTTACTTTTCAAAATAAAAAAAATAAAAAAGAAGTGACATGTGTCTCTTGTATAATAAAATTGACTATATTATGTGAAATAGTGGGAGATTATCTTATTATACATTGTGAAAAATAATAAAATAATAGAAACTTCATAAGATAATTTGCATGAAATTATGGGACAATCCCATTATACATTCTACGTAATATTAATGAAATATAGGAATATTAATGTAATTTTCAAAAAAGCTGGGGGGCTATTGCATCCCCACTCCCCGATTGGATCCCCTATTCATGTCGCGTTTTGAATTAGAAAGCTTGTTATTAGTGATTGTGGTGAGAACCAAACTGGTCAATAGAGATATTTAGGTGTCAATAAAATTTTAGATTCAAGTTAATGGAATAATATTGACATGAACTACTTTAAATTTTACTATTCTACTAACTTTACTGTGTGGTAACCACAAAAAATAAAAATAAAAAAAATAAAAAATAAAAAATAAAATAGAAAGTTGCTTAA